CAGGTGGATCTCTGCATGCCCCACGGATCCCATGGGCTGCAGGTGGATCTCTGCATGCCCCATGGATCCCATGGGCTGCAGGGCACAGCTGCTGCACCATGGTCTCACCATGGCCTGCAGAGGAATCTCAGCTCCAGCGCCTGGAGCATCTTCTCCCCTCCTTCTCCACTGACCTTGGTGTCTCCATGTGATTTCCCTCACATGTTTGCACATCCTCTTCTCTGGCTAGAAGAAAAGTTGTGCATTCCCATTTTGGTTTGATTTTGTTCTTAAATATGTTATCGCAGAGGCATTACCAGCCTTTCTCAGTGGCCCAGGCTTGGCCAGCAGCACGTCCATCTTCAGAGCCTTCACACATTGGGTCTGCTGGACATGGTGAAAGCTTACAGCAGTTTCTCACAGAAGCAACCTCTGTGGCCGCCCTGCTACCAAAAACTAGGCCATGCAAAACCAACATAAGGTTAAAGGCAACTGATGAGAGTTTGCATGAACTATTTGTGAAGAACTGTCATTTAATTCTCTTAACTTTCCCAAATTCCAGTAATCTTTAAATGTATACCTTAATTTTAATGTGTTCCTGTGAAAATATTTGAGACTTCTGCTGTCGCCTTCTACGTATTTAAGAAGGAATTTTTTAGAACTACAATAACTATCTCACCCATTTATTATCTGATTACATTTTTTCTAAATAAAATACTCAAAATATGATTTTTAATATATATACACACACCTGAGTGGTATCTGTAATAGTGACTTTTGGTGCTACTTTTGACTTCAGAAGCATTATTTCTCAGGCAACAGAAGTCCTGGCTCTGTTATTTCCACAAGTATGTAAGAAAATGTATGTGCAGATCTCTGTGTATTGAGAAGGAAATATTTCTACTTCAAAATGAATGGAACAAGTCTTTTAGAAAAGCACTTCATGTTCCCATCCTAAATGTGTATTTAGGTTCTTGCACATACATTTGGCTAGGGTTTGTGCTGTGTGTCTCTTCTGATTATGTGTGAGCAACCAAAGATGTCACACTGTTGCAGTGTGCAAAGCAGCACTTGCCTTTAAGTCATGAGTCCAGAGGAAGTTTTGAAAAATTGCTGTTAAGAAATTTGGTTTCTCAAATGGGCAGATTACTGTTCAGAGCTTTAGGACTCATTGGAAACCTTTTATTTGTTAAAGAGATTATCTGTTAAGGACGTCTACATTGGTGGATTTGAATGATTGGAACATCAGGATTCTCTGGCCTTTTACAACAATTTCTTTCCCTTTGGAACTCAGTTTTTTCCTTTGTGTGTATCTATGCCATTAGTTAAAGTGTTGAGATTTCCCTTAACTGCAATTTAACTGGGGAGGGGAACTTGTTCTTTCTTCCGGTCAAGTGATGCAAATATCTAAGTTATGAGCATGGGATTCAGGTCAGAATAATGTTCTTTTACTTTAGAAGGGTAACCAAGTTGTTACTTGTCATAAACAAGTCATTAACTTCTTTTATTTTGGAGTCATTGGGAACTTGTCCAGCTTCCTGGGAAGGACTTGTAGAGTTGTTGGTTTTTTTTGTTAGATGGGAGAGGTTTCCCATCTTTCTTACCACATCCAGTTTGCCCGTTCCGGCTTGCTTTAGAAACTTGGACCCTACTTGCTAGAGGCATTTATAAGCTGCACAGTCCTTGTCAGGTCTTGATGCAATTTCTGAGGTGAATCATCTTTGTCCATTTCTAATGTATGAATGGATTTCTTTCCTTTTAAAGTAGAATCAAAGAAATGGATATCAAGCCTTATAATTTGCTCCCGCTAAATCAAACAGATGGTAGGAGGGCCAAATTTATCTTCTTATTTAAAAAACAACAACAACAAAAAAAAAAACCAAAAAAACCCCAAAAACTCAAGCTTTTGCAATATAATTACCAGTCAAATTATTTTGTTTTTCACTGAGACACTCACTTGAATTATTGAATTATGGAGTGTTTTAGGAGCAGTGCTGGTAAGTTACAGTGTGCAATTAATAATATTCATAACGTTTTCCCAACACAGAGAGGACATCAGCCTGTTCAAGTAAGTGCTGAGAAGGGTCACTAAGTTGACTGAAGGGATGGAACACCCTTCCTGTGAGGAGAAGCTGAGAGAGGTTTGTTCAGCCTGGAAAGCAAAAGGTTTTGGGGTGACTTAACTGCAGCCTTCCAGTACTTGAAGGAAGCCTATGAGAAAAATGGAGAAAAACTTCTTGGGAGAGCAGGTAGTGACAGGACAAGGAGGAATGATTTCCAGTTCAAAGACAGAAGATTAGGAGGAATGATTTCCAGTTCAAAGACAGAAGATTTAGATTAGATGTTAGGAAGGAATCTTTTCTGTGAGGATGGTGAGGCTCTGGAATAGGTTTCCCAGAGAAGCTGTGGGCTCTCCATCCAGGCTGCAAGATCAGTCTGGATATGGCTCTGAGCAACCTGGAGTAGTGGAAAGCGTTCCTGCCCATGGCAGCAGGGTTGGATCTACACAATCTTTAAGGTCCTTACTTCTTCCAAACTAACTAGGTGCTGGACATCTTCCAGAGACGTGTTTAGTCTTTGATAAAATTACTTTCTAGAAAAATGGAAACTTTTGAGTGGTTTGAATTGGAGATAGTATTGTTTGTTAAGGGCAAACAAAATAAAAGAAATCATTTAAGGTGTTCTCAGGAAAGGAAATTGCTGGCTCTACTCAGACTCTAAAATTAAATTCTGTTGCAGTACATCATCTTATTTTAGCCTTGTAGGAAGCCATACTCATATTCTTTGGCCAAAATTTAACTCGTATGCATTTTTCTTACTGAAGTGATTGGTAATCAGTCTGTGAAAGAGAATATTGTCTAAATGTGGTATTTATGTTTTTTAAGTGATTGGATAAAGCAGGAAATACAATCTTCATTGTATATTTACCTACAATAGATTTAAAATGCAAACTGTTCTTGGAGCCTTATTATGAGGCATGAAGTTACTTTTGTTTTGCTTAACCAAGTAGCTGAAATGTTGCCACCAGTATGTCTGGAATGTTATTTACTTGGTCTGCTTCTGCGGTTTTTCTTTGTAGCACTGTACACATGCCACAGCTAGGGGTCATTTACTTAAATCTGACCAAAGTAATACTCAAAACTGTGGTTATTATTCTCATTGGAGGCTTTATAATGAAAGATTTATCATGTTCTGTAATTTCTGTGCTCACACTTTCCCCCTGTTTCTCTCTCCCTTTGTTCTCTTAATCAGAATTGCTTTTGGCAAAGAGTTGGAGAGATGCTGTTTTTACTTGGTTTTTTTGTGTTGATTCCTCGATTTAGTACTTTAACTTCTTGCATTGTTTTTACAGTGCCATCTGATTGAAATGTATTAACTTTCTGGGCTGTGTAGCTACTTTTTTTAATAAGGAGATAGTTGTTGAGTACATTTTTCTGTGTAAGCGTGTATCATATTTTATGGTCCCAGTTTCAGATTGGGTTGGAAGAAAACTGGAACTGGTTGCTGGAAAACTGTGAGTGTTTTAACATTTCCAACGGAAGGGTAGGATGGGTGGGGAAGGTCTTTGGAATGCTGATGAATAATATTTTACTGTTGGAAGTGTCCTAAGGCCATAGACTCCCCTCCCATGCTTGGAAGGCTAGACTTAAAGACCTCTGGTCTTGAAGGTACAGTTGTGTTTTATTTTCTTTCTAACTGAGACAAAAGTGAGAGAAGAGTTGAATTACAGATCTTGGATACCTCAGGTTAACACAGGAACACACTGCAGATGGTGGTCTTGGTTTGTGTCCTTGCTGCTCCCATCCGTGACATGGTGCCCCGTTAACCCCTTGCATGTTAGTCAGAGGGATGAATTCTGCTACTTTTATCTCCTAGATGTACTTAGTTTCAAAAGTTGTATCAGTTTTGATATTAAGGTATGTAATGTCCATAAGCATAGCAGAAATTGCCTAACAGTAGCACATGAGTTAGGAACTGCAATAACTTGCTGTTCAGGGTATTTTCAATAGCAGAGTTTTCCCCTGCAATTTCTTCTTTCAGTGCTTGAATACAAAGCAGAGTAGATAAAGACTGGGTTGTTCCCCTGCTGTTATGAAAAGCAGATATTTACTGCTTCTCACTTCTGTGGTTGCAGTAAAATAGGTCCTCCTATCTCTGCATTTGCAGAAATGATCAACTCCTGTCATGAGATGGTATCTTCTTAGCTTGTTTGTAGTTTTGGCAAACACACGTGCTTTACTGTGTATGACACTTTTTACTTTTGGATAGTGATTTGTTTTCTTTATTAAATGTTTCTCCTTTATTTATTTCTTTGATCATTTGACTGATAAATACTTGCTGCCAATGTTAACACTGCTTGTATTTTATTTTCCTGACTTATATATAAACATTTCTGTTGAAATAAATGTCTTGTAATATGAAAAATATAAAACTTTGATTTAAGTTACTTCTTACAATTAATAGCCATTTGATGGTTGAATGCCATACAACTCTATGATGGATTTTTAGTTGGATTTTCTGCCAACCAACAATAAAGTACCGCTTAATTCCTACAAATTCCTGAGATACAAACTATTAGTCATGACCTAGCATGCACACACTACTAAGAAGCTAACAGGCTAATAAAGCCTACCTGAAGGGAGCCTACAAGAAAGATGGAGAGAAGAATCTATTTATAGAGCATGTAGTGACAGGACAAGGGGGAATGGCTTCAAATTGAAAGAGAGTAAGTTTAGATTAGATATTAAGAGAAAGTTCTTCCCTGTGAAGATGGTGAGGCACTGGTATAGATTTCCCAGGGAAGCGGTGGATGCCCCATCCCTGGAAGTGTTTAAGGCCAGTTTGGATGGGTCTCTGGGCAACTGGGACTAATGAAAGGTGTCCCTGTCCATGGCAAGAGTGTTGAAACCAGAGGATCTTCAAGGTCTCTTCAATCCAGTCCATTCTTTGGTTCTGTTATTGTGTCCATGCAACACACATTGTAACAGTAATGGATTTTGTCACTCATTTCTCTTGTGCAGCCCACACATCATCTTTCTGTCACAAAGTGTACTGCCAGGAGGAAGTCATCTCTGTGGAACACGTCTGTGCCATGAAATTGCTCATGCTTGGTTTGGACTGGCCATTGGTGCTCGTGATTGGACGGAAGAGTGGATAAGTGAAGGGTTTGCCACTTTTTTAGAAGATGTATTTTGGGCTAGGGCACAACAGGTAAGGTGATAACATGTTACTTCAAAATTAATGTGGAAATAAAAATTAACTGTGAATTAGATATAAATTAAACCTCCTGTGCTATGAAGTAACGTTTTAAAATGGTATTGGAATTAGCATGCTTACTTGATTAAAAAAAAAAAAAAATTATGCACAATGAATGCAAGTCTTTACACAGGTAGAGGTCAGTGCAAATGAGAATAGAAACATCTGTTTGTCAATGATTACTTTCCCACAAATTTTCTACTCAGGTATTAAAATTCAATTATCAAACAGTTGCTGTGCATTCTTTCCACTTCTGTTGTGTACCTGAAACTGGAAAAATCAACAGTCTTACTGCATATTGTAGTATTCCAGATGCCTAATTAAAATTGTTTGGTTTTGTCCAATGGATGACCAAGAAGTGTACTTCAAAGCAGAATGGAAGATGATTTTAAATAGGGCACACTGACACACTTTTTTTTCTCTTCTACTGCCCAGCATGTTACTGTCCTGTCAGAGACTTAGAAATCACTGTCTGCCTTAAGTTGAAAAGCTCATTAAGTTGCATGTCAGCTAGTAAAGTGTTTTTCTTATGCAATTCTTACTTTTGTAGCACCTCTGCTACCTCAAGCGTTTTGTGTGTCAGTTCTTTCTTCCTGCGCCTTTGTCAAGTTCTGCCCATTTAGTCTGCAGACCTCCACCTGAGCAAGAGCATGGTACAACTGGGAACTGATATAATGCACTCTTCTGAACCTCCATTTTATTATCTGGCATATTTATAGCACCAAACAAAACAGAGTGCCTTGTTATGTACCATATTTCTGGAAAAAGCGAGAGAGAAAGGCTGTCCAAGCACTTGGCTTTTCCCTTTTGGTTCTAAAACTCATTTGTGCCCTCACTACATTTCTGTGTTCATATTAAGTCTTTGCTTTTGTTAGTCACTTGAAAGCATTTTGATTGCAGTAGACATCTTCCTTGGAACTGAGTGTAAAGGAGAAAACAACAGAACAGTGTGATTCGTTCCCTTGTTAATGTGTAAAGCATACTTTCTGAACACTATTGAGTAGTTTTGATGCAATGCAGCCATAGAATTTAAGGATCATGGGTGTATTCCATAGTGCCTGGGAATAATTTTAGTTGTGACTGAATGTAATGCTGGGTAATACTAGCTGCTTTTGCTTTCCCCAATTTCCCATCTATTTTTACAATAGCGAAACATAAACTCTAATTATATTCAAAGTAATTATTTTTCAGCTGGCAACCTGGAATTTATTTCATAAATTGGCATATCTGTTAACATTATGTAAACGGGGGAAAGTACAACAGGGAATTTCGCCGAGTATGGCTGTAGAGGAAAGAGGAATGAAGCCAGGACACAATGTAGCTCTTTGCTCTCACTTCGGAAAGAGTAAGGAGGCAAGCAAAACCTCTATGCCAGGTATCGCTACTGTATATTCAGTTCATTTCTTGCCATTCACTAAAGGGAAAACAACATGCCCATCTCCCTCCTCAGTCTCAACTATTTAACTATTGATTTGATGTGCACAGTGAGGCTTTTGTTTCCCCTAGTGCTGCTATTATCTCTCATGTTATTTTTTTGTCTTGGCTATTGGTACTGTTTCATGCCTCTTCTGCACATTAAAGAGAAGCAAACCAAGTTTCTTCTTCTGCAAATTATTATTGTCTGTTGGGAAAGAACGATGAGTGATCTGTTTTTTGTTTACTAAGCAGCTGTCACATGATGAAATAAAAGGGCAACAGGAATTGAAAGCTTTACTTCGCTGGCGCAGACTCAGAGATGAGGTACAAAACTCTGAAGAAGAGCTGCAAGTTCTAAGGTAACAATATGGTAACATCATCTTCACTTTTGTATGTTCACTCTCTCCTCTTTTCCACATTTTCTCCCTTCAAAATACATCCAAATCATCTGATTAAATCTACTGTGTTTCCTTATTTCCTTCTAATAAACAAAGAAAATGCAAATTAAACTGATTGGGTTATACATCTTGACTTTAATGCAATTACATCTCCCTTTCTTACAGAAAGCTTTTAGAAACCATGTGATTTAGTTTGATATGAGGTGTCTTAGAAGTTTACAAGAGCTTCTGTTCAGGGAAAAAATAAAAGACCATTTCCTGAAAAAGTTTACTGTTGAAAGCCATAACAGAGTCATTTTCTTGGCTGAAGACAAGCACATACATTAGCATGGGATCTAACTGCCAAGCTGAATGAAGCTTTGAAAAACAAGGAAAAAATATAATATATAAACTATATAAACCTGCTTTCTCATTAGAAAGTACTAATATTTATACTTAAACTAGATTGCTGGTCTTTAGGTATCACATGCTAAACTCAAGGTTCCTTTGTAGATAACTAAAGACAGTCTTCCTTTGCCAGTGATTAATAATCTGGGTAGTTCTGATTGGTGTGTTAGGAATTTTCCACAGTCTTTGATCTTGAGTGTCTTGTAATTTGAGATCCACTGAGCCTCTGTGGCTTGTCTCCTCATGGTCTTCAACCATGAATAATGAGGTTTCTAATCTTAGTTCACATTAGCCATGATTTCTCACCAAATCATGGAAGTACAGGGACAGATTTCAAACAATTATGTAGTCTATTCTCCTTCTCTGAAATAAAGGCAGTACACACAGACCATCCTAAGTGGGTTCTTGCTAATATATTCTTAGAATGTTCCAATAAAAAAGTTTTCATAAGAGAGACAAGCTATATTAGTGTCTCAATAAGACAGTGTTAACAGTTAAAAATTGCTTCCTAATGCACAACTGAAATACTGTTTATTCAAACAATGTAGATTTCATTTCTTTCTTTCACCAAGTGGAAGTGACGAAAAAATTGATACCCATATTCTAAATTATCAGCTTTTAAATGTTTTTGGAAGACTGTTGCTATTTCATCCCTTTAAAATCTGCCCTTCTTCTTGTGCTTGCCCAGTAGAACCTAAAAGGCTCTACTATATTTGGACACTCTAGAGAGTGTTCACCAACATAGGAATTCCTCTCCAAGGCTTCATGTAATCCAAAAGCATATCACCATCTGCAAAACTGTCGTCTTCCACTGATGTGTTTTACTTTATTTTTATTGATGCATTGTGTATCTATGTGTAAGCAGAGTCAATGAAGTTACACAGTTGTGTAAATGTTCAGGTGTGCAATTTGATCATAGTTGTAAATGAAAAAGCAAGTTTAATCACTAGTTATTATACAGCTGCTGCCAACACAGCTACCAATTTGCATGCTGAGATTTTTGTTTGTTTTAATTATTTTTTTTAATATGGGTTCTTGGGATATTATGCTTATCTGGGTAAGTCTTTTCCACTTTCAACACTGTGGAATCAAATTTGTTGCCCTTTGTGTGACTTATATACCTGTTACTTTCAGTCAAATGTTGCATGGTGTAAATTTTCAAAATAATTTTTTTAAGGGCCATAGTACTTCGTAGCTGGAAACTCAAGAAGGATTGATTTATTTTGAAAATAAAACTTATGCTTTCTATTGGGTTGCACATTTATTAGACATGATAATAAGCATTGTTCTGACCTTTTGGATAGTGATATTCCTAATGCTAATACGAAAGAGTGAAAAATTAATTTCTCATTTGAAAAATGTGTCTCCAATAGACACTTCAGGTCAGGAACATGATGCCACTTTGTGATTCTAGCCATTTCTTCTTCTCTGATATCCCTTGTTCCTTGTGATTGCATTTAAGGACTTCCTATTGATTTCAGTCAGATATAAATATTTTCTACAATTTTTATGCATATGAGTAAGTTCTCTTTTTGCCTATTTACTGTTGGTTTTGTTTCTGGTTTTTTTTTGTCATCCTTCTGAAAATATGTTCTTGTGCTTTCCAGAAATGGCATATGAGAGAGAAAATGTCAGTCCTGGTTGTGAGTCTGTACTGAGGCTTGGGCTGGTTCAAACTTGTGTTTTTATACAGGATATTGAAAGTGAATTATAATTGTTACTTCTTGCCAGTCATTTCAGGAAGAAAAAAATCAACCAACTCACTCTTCCTAAGCATAGGCTCATTCTTCCATTCCTTTTTTTGTTCCCTGCTTATCATATGGTTATCTGTGCTTTCTCCTGACAGCTGTAAATATCTGCCCCAAACTTATCAGCTGATCCTATCAATTTTTGATCCATCAAATGAATACCTATAAGATTGGGTGAAAGCACTCAGCAAACTGATGATCAGCCTGATGTTTCTGCTAATTATGGGTACTTGGTATTATGTTATAGTAAGTAGCATGTCATAAGCTACCTGTTAAAAAAGAGGTCAGGTAAGAAAGAAATCGGATAAGTGCCTTTTCAACAGGCAGCAGCTCCAAAAGGCAGCACCAGCACATCTTAATATTGAAGATGGAGTTTGTGGCACTTCCATGCTCATACAGGATGAGACTTCCAAGAGAACTGTGCCTGTTTTCTCACAGAATTTGAAACAAACCTACAGGAATTAAAACACCTGTGAAAAATGTTTTGGCACTTGTTTTGCTGGTGATCTTCAACGCCAGCACTTTCTATCCAGCACTCTTATGTTAGGAAAGCAAAGAAGACCATTCTGTTCTGCAGAATAAAGCTGGTGTTGACATTTGTGTCATCTCCTGGCCCTTATGGCTGAATTGCAGCTTGTGGTTTTCCATTAAGGCAAGCCAATGTTGATTAAATTAGTCTCTGAGTTCCACTTGTGTCAGGTCGATTCTGTCCTGAAGAAATGCTTCTGACTGCTCTGTAGGTTTTTGAAGAGTTTTATTCTCTCTGTAAGGAAATGTGCTTTCAGATGGTCTCTTATAATCTCTGCGTAAGTTTTCATGACCACCTGGCACATCAGAGCATTTAATTACAAAGGACATCCCAGAGCATTGTACTTTCACTACTGTAATGTACTCATCTGCCCAACAAACAGAAAGCAGCATCTTCTACTTCCTTCAGAAATTTTCCAGGATCTAAAATGTGCCAGATAGCATCTTGAATATTTTGAGACAGCTTGCCTTTAGCATTATGCTTGGATTTATCCACTAGGTTAGATACAGCTTTTGTAGATCAGTATAGAAAGATTTCAGTCTCTGTACTTTCAATGTCTGGTAAATACAGTAAACATTGCTTTAAAACAGTGTTCTGAAGTACTGATAGCAGAGAGCAGGGTTACATTCTGAACAGTTACACTCCTTTACAGAAATTTTCAAGAATATATATGCAGCCTTTGCAGAGAAATGTGTTAAATGTTTTCTGTATGGAATTCTTCACTACCATCATCCAGATGCAATACGCCTTTCTAGTCAGTCCTAGGATGTACATGGGCACAAAGTCAGAGGAGGAGGGAGATATGGTTGCCTAATTTAGAATAATTGTGATTATGAGGGAGATCTCAATTTAGTGTGGATTCTGTAGCCTGTGCTCAAAGTCTATTTTCCACAGTCAATAGACTGGGCTATATATTAAAAGAGAAAAGAAGCAGTTTTGCTTTTTATGTATGCAAAGAATGATGAAAAGTCACATATGGAATGTCAGCAGGTCTTCCTTCCAGGAGACTGATCCAGAGGGGAAATAGCTGTATTTCTGCTTTCCTGCTGTGTGTCAGCAATGTTTATACAGTCTGAAAGAACTGGAGTTGCCATAGTATAAAAAAACATTTACTGCTATCTTTCTTTCAATGTTGAGGGAAGATCATAGTGGAAAGATATTTATGAATGATAACATGGAAGAGGACTGTGTTAGAAACACAGTGTAAAATTCAATCTGTTTTTTTGCTCTCTATTTTATTTCAAAGTTACATTTTATGAAAATTTTGTGTACAGTTCATTTCATGTGCATAGGCCCTAATAATAATGTCTTAAAAAAACCCCCCGGTTTAGTACTCTGGACAAAACTGTAATGTGAAACTGTGACACAGATACAAAAAGGGAAGAATGTTTTCCTCAAGGGAGACACAGATATGGAAAAAAACTTTGATCACAAGTGTTAGCTCCTCAAATCACTCCTGCTTGAGAGGTGTGGTTTGAAGAATTTTGCATTGCTGTGGCCCGTATTTCCCCTATTCTGTAGAAATGAAGGGAAAGACGTTTGGTTTCAAAGACTGGCCATTTCAAAATCCATATTTAGAACTGGAGAGGTTGTTATAGTCATAGGGTTAAACTCCTAAGACAGGCATCTGTTCTCAGACTACTGCTAGTTGGGTTGTTTTCTGAATAGAAGAAAAAATCTAGATGATCTAGATTTTTCAAGACATACTATGCCTGTGAAGGCACTTCTTAACAAATGAAGAAAAAATGTTTGCATAGCTGCTCTTTAGTTTCAGTCCGTGCTCTTTAGAACCTAGAAGTCCTCCACACTTAACTGTTGTAGATTAGTGGCATACCATAAATGTTATGTTAAAATACTGTATTACATTTTAAATCAGGCAATAAATACTATCTTTCTTCCTAGACATTGTCTGTAAACCTCAAACCTGTGTGCAAAATTCTTCCTCTTTTAAAATTTGAATTTTTCTTCCAATCCAAATGAAAAATGAAAATCAGAACACTCTGCAGCAGTCTAGTGCCTGCAGATGTAAGAGGTTGTTTTTGCAAGAATAGTCATGTAAGCTGTTAAGCCAAAGTTCAGGTAAAAAAAGAGAAAATTCTAGTCAAACATAGTGACTTCACTATCTTTCCCTCCACTTCTCTTTCCCCTTAAAATGTTCTTTTGCAACCTGGTGTTGTGCTGGCTGTAAAAAGGCTACCCCAACCTACTGATTAATTTTATTTAGAAGAAAATTTACTTGTTTGACTTTCTAAGTCAATTTATGTACTTAAGGTGAAGAAAAAGCCTGAGCTAGTTACAAGTGTTTAAAGTTATTATGTCACACAATGCTTTCAACTATGAGAACCTGTAATGTATGACTTATTTCTTTACTTACTCATCCAAAACTTAATTAGCATGTTTCCATTTTAGGCCCAAAAAGGAGAGCACAGGAGAATTGAGTGAGTCTGGAGCCTCTGTTGTCAAATATGGTCTTAAAGCAGAAAAAATCTTCATGCAGGTTCACTATTTGAAGGTGAGTGTTGTCAGCTGATTGTTTTGAGGTTGCTTTATGAATATCATAAAGACTTTAGTCTTCTGGATATCAGAAAATTCACAGCTTCTGCCTTAATTTTTTGCAGGGTTATTTTCTTTTACGATCTCTGGCAAGGACAATAGGAGATGCCTCATACCTTGCATCTTTACGGAAATTTGTCATTAAGTTCCATGGGCAGCTCGTCCTTTCTCAGGTATTTCCTTGGGCTTGTTCCTCACCTTTTGGAAAAACAAATAACCCAAACTTTTGGCTTGGCTACCTAAATCATCACTTATGCTTGTAATGTAAGGGGAGAGGCAATTGTAATTTGGCAATATAGGTAAAATTCCTACCTGCTAGAGGGCAGAACATTTTTTTTTCATGGTGACACTTGAATCACACCCTGCTAGTGTCCAATAATATAAACAATGAGGGATTTTTTTTTAACATGATACTTCAAAAGGCCACTATTCATATGTACTGATGTTCTCAAAGATTTACCACACTGGAATCATACATATGTAATCTATTAGTCTGTGGTTTTTGGCTGTGATCAGTCAAGTATTTTCCCTGATTCCTCTCTGTTTCTGAAAGAGATTATACTTATGAATTGATTTTTTTATTTTTTTTTCTCTGCATGGTGTTTCATTCAATACTTCTAATTTCACCCTATTTCTTGTAAGGACAAAGCCAACTAGGGTTATAAGTAGAAATTTACCTCCCGCTAGGTCTTTCTGTAAAAGTCATGTAACTACTAGCTCTAATTTTGTTTTGATTCAGAAAATTACGTAGCTCTCTGAGCCCAAAGTTGTCAGAATCCTGTCACTGGTGATGAATCCAGCTTGCACAAATAGCAGTGCAGCTTCTTGCTTCAGTAATGCTGTGAAAACAACCATTCATTCATGGGGGTGTCTGTGATCCGGGTCACTGAACTCATCGTGGTAAAAAGCAGGCCAGGAACAAAACCCATGACACCACAAATATTTAGCATTGCTAGAAGAGCAGCGTGATGACAGTGAGGGGCGAGGGAAGAGAGAAGGGCTATGAGTGACTTTCTGAAGCCACCTTCTTTGCTGAAGTCTGCTTATTGACTTGTAATGTTGAAATGTTTGAGGATATTTAGGACAGTGATAAATATCTCCTTGAAACACTAAGGGCCTCTGATTTTGTGTAACCCAAATCTAACGCTTCCTGTTTCTTAGAGGAAAAAAGTGATTTTTTGCTTGCATGCATACTATTTTGAATCTCACTTTTATGGGGTGAGATGTATGCCCAGATATCTTACAAATAGCTTACGGACCTGTGATATCTTTTTTATGTCGAGTCACCCAGAGGTTAGGAGCAGTATCTCTTAAGACAGCATTTCTGCCCCTTGGAGGAATGTTTGGGTTGTTAAGGGAGTTAATACTGCTGCAGTTGTTTCCTGTGTCATGTTACTGAGACCGTAAGCAGTTACATTTGGCACAATGTTGAAAATGCCAGTGACTGTACGAGCCTATATATTAGGGTGTCCAAAATCATAAAAATGATGCTTCGCTTTTACACAGCTGGATAAATTTTGAAAATTACAGAAGTTGTGAGACTGCTAACAAGAAGCCCAGCATTTTAAGCTGGTGGTAAGGAAGGTGCTCGGATTTTGGTAAGAAAATGTTGCTTCTGGTTGATGTAGGGTGAGTTGTGTCAGTAGACTGTTTGAATGCTGCAAAATGTTCAGCAGACTGTTCTACTAGTCATGGTAGCTAGCTAGCACATACACTAGAGACTTCTCCCTTTGTCAACCTAATTCAGTCTCCTAAAATGAAATACCACATCCAGAAACATCCATTTTGGTTATTGGGTTAAAAACTGCTCACTGTTTTTTTATTGAATTATTGAAGCAAAAGTTAAACTTTTGTTTCTTAGGCTACTTTTTGTTTGGACATGTGCAATATGTCCATAACTATGTGCTTAATATAGGTAAAGAAAAATAAAAAAGGTACTTTCCTTCATTTGGAAATACCACCTGATATGGTGGAAAAAGAGTGTTGTACATTAAAACTTCTATTGTTTGCTTTTCCCTTGTCTACCAACAGCGTAAGTCCGGGTCCTAGTGAAGTTCTTGGGAAGAGAATTTTAACATCATACTTGCTTTTAGTCACTGAAAAATGAAAATGTGATAGGGCTATAACCAATTAAAGTGCATTTTCTGTCTTTTTAAGATTGTGGTTTTTTGGGGTCTGGTATAGGTAGATAATGAATCACAGCAGGAGTTGTAAATGCAGAAGAAATGAAGTCAAGTTAGTACAAAGTTTCTTATTCAAGATCCTTCTTGAACAAACATGCTGTCAGCGTTTAGATGAATAAAAGATTTAAAATAAATAAAAGTGCGAATGCTAAGTTTAAATACTATAGTGCTATGCTTTCACCTTGTCTAAAATAACTGTAAAAGTTCCCAGGTTTAGGGATTGTGGGAATGAGGGAAAGTAAAACAGTGAAAAATTGCCCATGTTATGAATACTAGTCTTGTTTTCTGCGGTGTTTGTAGTAATTTTCCTAGATGGGAGCTGCAGGTGCAAGGAAATTACTTCATATGTGAAACATTAATCAGTTTGCCTTTTTCCTTCATTTTGCTTGCATGCTCAGTAGATTTTTAATAGCAGCTTTATTTTAGTTGAGTTAGTAACAGATGAGTAACACAAATCTGGAATCTTTGAGAATGGTTTTTAAAAAAAAATTCAATTTTTCTTTTTATGAGAGAATTCACTTACAATTGCTTTGAGTGAACTTTTAAAATAATGACTGGAGTGGTTTTTACTATAAATAAAAAGAAAGAAGGACAAGTTGCTGATACTTTTAACAGAGTCAAAGCTGTTGTTCTATTTCATCTTGAAATAAAAATACCTTCAAAACGGAATTGTTTGCCAACTTTAATTTTTGTATGATTCTGTCTATTATAATGGCCCACAAACTGACTTGACTAAAGCTAGATGGAGGTTCTATCACCTGGGAATTGCACTGTTAATCTGTCTGGTAATGATTGCTGCCTGATGATAGAATGTATAGTGGGGGAGTCTTGCTTACTCAAGATAAAAAGTTGTCACCAGAAGCCAGGAAAGCCAAGAAGATGTTTAGGGAAGGAATTCCAAATAAGCAGGAACCTAGAAGGGTTCTCATCATTTATTTTTCCCACCTAGAATGGAAAAATTAATATTTGCTGCTTAGTCATGTCATTAACAAACTGCATATTTTTTAGGAATATTTTAACTTTGAGTGGATTATTCCTTCAAGGAACTGGATGTAAGTGTAGTTGAAGTTTATTTGTTGCCAAGTGAATGTCCATTTGGATCTATCACTTTCAGTCATGACATCTCCACTGTTTTTATGCACCCCATTATATTCCAGTCAAAGATTTTAAAGAAAAGTATCTGTTGGTTGTAGAGTACTTAAAATGTCTGGATTTGAGATTTTAATATGAAGACATAACTTGTCTTTTAATATTGAGTGTTCTTTATTTGATATTAATATGTGTGATCAGAGAGAGCTACTTGCCTGATGCTCCAAAACATTTCAAGGGTAGAAACTTGCTGGCCATTGCTCAAGACAAAAGTTGGAGTAGTATTAAAACACCTTTTGGCATGAAATAAAAGGTCTTCTAACACCACATATATCTAGTTACCACTTTAAGCAGCGTTCATTTCCAGTTACTTCTTTCAACCTGTGTCTCAGGTTTTGGGTCCTGACTCCTCTTTGCTTTTGGCTCAGAATACAGTACATCCATTTACTGTGCAGAGAAAATTTCTCCTTGATGTCAAAGTCCCAGTCTTTATCCCAGCAAAAGCCCCATGTTAAGGCTGTGATTAAAGTTACTGGCTTCATTCAGGATTAAAGTGAGAGCAGATGAAAGTCACCAGGGAATTTAATTATAAGGGGCTAGCAGATCCTTAGTAAATGTGTTGAATTCATTTTTTTCAATGGCTTTTCAGCTTGGCCAAATATAGTAGAATTCCATGTTTTCTAGCCTCAGGGTCTCTAGCCAGGTAAGAGCAACATGATGGAGTTATAAGAAAGTGAGATTATTTGATCATATTAATATAAACCAGTTTGTTAATATTGCAGCACTGTGATAGCATGTAGTGGTTTCTAACTTATATAGTCTTTATGCCTTCATTGAATTACTTGCAACAAAGACAAAAAAAACCAAACCAAAGTATAATTTGCCTTATGGTCTGATCCAGAATATAGTTAGGGTTACCATAGTTATCTACAAGTCTTTGCTTCAAAGTGTAAAATAAAGCATCTTAAAGAGGTGACATCAAATCTTAAAAAAACTCACATTATTGTCTGACTTTTCTCCTGGACACTTCTGAACCATTTCATCTGTGGAGGAAGAAAAAGTAACCTGAGAGTAAACTTTCTCTCCAGATAGTTATAATGGCAAAATTATAAACAGCTGAAAAGTCAGACCTATAATGAGATGTGTCATGCAGACTTGATAGTAGACAACTGTCAAAAGCCATGCTAATAAGAAGTAAGTGGTAATTTGCTTTCCTACTCCATTTTGCAGCAGTTGAGCAGTTAAGATATAATAGATTAATCCTTGTTAATAGATTAGTCCTTGTTAATCCTTGTTTTAAGAAGATGTGTAGAATGACGGTGCCTTTTTCTTAATAGGCATTTGGAAAAAAGAGTGCTTTAATCACAAAGCACTAATTTGCTTTAATTTCATAGTATATATGCTTTAATAGCATATATATTTGCTTTAATTTCATAGATGCTTAATTTCATAGTATAGTATACAGATTATGAAACCATCCACTGTGATTGATTATGAAAAGTTGATGGAATCTAACCAGGGAATCTAGTTGCATTAATGTACACACCGTGCAAATAGGGTGAAGGATAACTACTTCAGGTTTACTATTCCCACACTTTTGAAATAACTTTAACTATGATCTCTTCATATTCTTTATATGGATATAAGCTCACTGTGTATCCCCATCAAAACATTCACAAGTGGAAGGAGACAGTAGTTCTCTGTTTATATACAGAATAATGTAATGTTTACGTACAACAAAACTGCAAGTAGTTGTATGAAATAAAGGGATTTGACATGTCATCATCATCATCATCATCATCATCATCATCATCATCATCATCATCATCATCATCAATGTCTGCAAAATACTGTGAATGGGACAAAATGATTCCTGCCACAGTTAGTGATGCCTTTCCTGCCACACTGAGCCCAGCACTGTGTAATTTACTTTTTGTCATAAGCCAATTTTGCAGCCACTGCAATGCAACCTGAACCTCACTTATGACCTAAAGGAGGAAGGCTTAACTGCGTTACCAGTAGTTTCAGTTGTGCAGTCTATTTTACTTTGATTCCCTAACAATGTCATAGACAGAGAAACAGTATTTTTTGTTGACTGTTACGTCATGTTCCATAAATAAAAGATTTCTACCTTTTAAGAAACATTCTTCAAGACTTTAGAGAGCAACAATTTGCAATTGTTGTACAGTACAGTCAGCCTGTACTTGTATACTGAAGTGAGGAACATTATTAGTGTATGAAACTTGTCTCCACAAAGATTAATGCTAAGAAAGCAGATGCATTTATTTTATGAAACAGCATATAAATGAATAATTCATATTAATAAACCCTATTATTATGTGATTGTTCAAAGGAGTGTATTCTGTCAAAATGATTGTAATTAAAATTAGGTTGTGTAGAACACAGGGTGCCAGAGAACCTTTTAGTGATTGATGTCAGTTGTAACTTTCTTAAGAGGGCTTATCATACTGGTATAAGTGAGGATGATAGTAATGCTCTTCAATTGGCATTGCATCGTCTTTGTAAAACCATGAAAAAATTCCTAGTTATCTTTTATTTGAAGAATTTACTCCTTAGGTGATGTGGTTATCAGCAATATTGTGAATTTTGTCATGGAATGAAGAGTAGGTGGGGTCTAATCAGGCACATGCATTAAGGAAGAAAAAGCTTTATGCAGTTATGTAGTTAAGGACAACATAATAACATAAGCACTGTGAAGTGAGCGTAAACACCCTTAATTTTGGTGTTTCTTAACTTTCATATGTAAATCTGCACCCTCTAACAGTTTTAAAATAGTTTGTGTGTTTGTATTATAGATAAAATAAAAGTAGGAACATGGGATTGTGTTGAAATAGCAGACTTTTCAAGCCTGTTTTCTTTCAATGTTGACAATTCTTGCTTGAGTGGGTTGGAAAACTGACAATATGATGTATAATGTATAAATAAGAATATACCTTATGTTGTCATTATATCACCATAGTGGATGTTTAAACTTTTTTCTTATCGTTCTGTTATTTGTAGTATTTAATCTCTCACTACCAGTGAAGACACAGGGTTCTGGCTTCGTAAATATACTAACTATGCTCCTCTGTTCATTTTCCAGGATTTTCTTAGCATGCTGTTGGAAGACATTCCTCAACAAAAAAAGTAAGAGCTAGTCTAGAAAAGCCAAAGAAATATGTAGAAATAAGATTTTAATATGTGCTAGCCAGAAGTAGTGCTAGTCTGAAGATTCCCATTACATATACACACAAAAAACGACGAGAATTGCTGTGGTTGTCCTATACCATGCTCTTGCCAAACAGTGCCTCTAACATGCATATTAGGTCAGAGGTGATGTCCTGTGTTCACTCTGCAGTCTGAAATGCCAGGCATAGCTGCCTGCTCAAACTAACCTGTGATTTGCCTGCCAACTGCTTTTGGCATATGGAGCCCTAGAGCAAGGATGTGCTAGAACTTTGCTGTGAAAAAAAAAGCTTGTCTGATACCAGAGAAGATGGATTTTTTCAAGAAGTATTCTGGTGCCATCCCCTTTCAGTCATACATTGTGCTGCATGAGGACGGATGAACATGAATAGAAGTCGAGCGTTGTTTGCCTGACATGTCCTACAAAATCCTCCTGTGACTGTGACTGGTTGAAGATGATAGTCTTTAGCCACACTTTGGAGCTGTCCATGCTTACAGTTTGGTTTGTTCTGTGCTGTTCTAGACTGTGCTACAAATTCAGATTCTTTTGTAGTGAAGGTTTACATATTACAGTTTTAAAAATTATTCACTTGAAAAATACATTGTTGAAGGCCAGGATTGCAAAAGTGTTCATAACTCTGTGTGAATGCTTTGGAGAAAGAAAAAAGAAAAAGATTATATTCATTGAGGTCAAGTGTATTGTGTTTTTTAGTGAAACACTTCCATTCCTGGTAGCTAAGGAACAGAGAAGCTAGGTATCATTGGGAAAATATATTTTGTGGTATCTCAGGTTTAGTTTGGGTGATTTTATATTCTCCAATGATGTAGTGGATAATGCTCTCTGTGTATGATTCAATATTGTTTCTAGGCCAAATATAATGAGGTATATTATATGGAATAGATGTGAAAGTGATTTTAAAATTATTATATATTATATGTATGATTATATAATATATATTACACACATATATATGATTATACATTGCCATGTTAAAAAACTCCCGTTTTCCTTCATTTTTTACTTGTGTTTCCCTGAACTCCAAACCCAGTGCAAAATGTTGTTGCATAAGCATCCATATTTTTATCTAAAAATATATTCAAACTTTCTATGAGACTAATGCAAGAAGTATAGCTCCATTTGTGATGCATCACACTACAAAATGTATGAAAGAAATTTCAGATATATGGTAATTCATTTTGCAGTCATAGATATATATATATACTTGGCAGGTACCAGCAGCAATGCAAGGAATCTTGATATATAGACGGTCTTTATTTCTTATCTGCCGTGAGGGTGTGTTTTTTATTCTTGAATGCATCCTGTGGTTCGTTCAGAAATACTTACCTGAAGTAAAAGAAAAGGGAGAAAAGATAAAAATCAAGTATTTTTAGTGATTGTCTGATCACAAGTGCTTTTTTGCACAAAGTCTGATATAGGAATGAAGTGCATTTCAATATTAGAGCAAAAATACTTTGTAGCACCCTCAGGTGCTAAAACCTCTCAGGCTTGCACATTTCTACCAAGTAAAATTTAAATGTTTAGACTATGCACTTTAAACTTGACAAATATCAAGCACTCTAATACACTGAAGTTTGTAATGGAGGCTGGTCTTAATCATAGAAAAAGAAAAAATAAAGAGATATTTGTAGTAGGTACTCAAACCAAACCTTCCTCTCAGCTGTGACAACAGGGGCTAACTATGTAGCTATTAATGGAACCTGGCTTATGGGAGACTTTTGTAATGTGAACAGGATGAACATTGGCAGAAAACTGTTGTGAAACAGTGTGGAAATTTTCTGTACTTATTACACTGTAGTAATGTAACTTCAGCTTTCCACTATTTGATCCAGGGACTGATGTAAAAGATTCTTACCTCCAAGTATTTAATTCTTTTAGCTTTATTCAAAGGAAACTTTTTTAGTACATTCCCAGTGATGAATAGCTCCAAGATCCAGATGTAACTTTTTATTGATCTTTGCTGCCTTCTTTACTTGGAGGAGGTGAGTTTTATGCTTAGTTTATAGGGCTACTTCACTTCCTGCTCTGACTCATTTACAATGGCATGTTCGCTGCAGGAATCCATGCTGTGAAGCAGAATCCTTCTCTTTCTGGACTGCAGCTGAATACTGACATCAGATAAGCTGAGCAGTACATTGTGGTCCTTTATAATTTCTGAACTTGCCTTTAAGACTGATTATTTGTCTGAGTGGAGGACTAATGGAAAGAATGACAAACAAATATCGATGATTATCCTTCTCTGTTTACAAAGCCTTTTAAAATATTACATGCACTGGTTAGAGCCTCACATTATCATGGCCTTTCTGAGGAAAATCTACAATACTTCCCACCTGTAACCAAGGTATTTTATTTACTTATATAATTTGAAACTTCACTACATTGAAAGAAACCAAACCAAACAAACAAAACACCAATAAAACCCCCTCTTATGTGTCTGTATATCAGAGTGCACTAGATTTAATAAAACTCCAGTGGCTGTATTCTCCCCAAGGCTTACACCCATAGTCTTTGCTGCAAGTTGATCTTTTCCACATCTGCCCAACATGTGAGCTTTGCAAAGAATCAGTATTTGCCCTTGTAACAGAGGGTTTCACCAGTCTTAGATAAATCAGAATTGCTGCTTGTGCAACCACTTTATGACTGCAGAATTTTTTTTAACAGGTCAGTTAAGCTCTTAGGGTTTTTTTGCTGGTATTTTTAATTTTGTTTCGTTCAATGAAGTAAACAAATCTGCTAATAAGCTGTGGTTTTAATAATATATGATAGGTAAAGGAAGGCTTGTGTTATAGCTCTCCTATTTGTAGTTTTAATAATCCAGGTTCACTAACTACGTCCCTTGGATGTTTTCACAAACTGACAATTAAATACTCTTTCTTTCATGTGTGCTTTCTTTGATTCACATCATGTTGTCGTGAATGTGATGATTTTGAATGAGACAAACAGCTGATAGACACATAACTACTGAAACAAATCATTGTGAAAAATTATTCCCAGTGGTTTTCATTCCTCAATTTTTTTTTAGTAAGCCAAAATGTTTATGCTGGATAAAATCCAAAGAAAATTTATCTTCAGGAAGGTATGTCTGGTTGACAATCACTAATTGGTCATTGTGTTTTGATTCACTCTAATTATGCCTCCAAACTTAGCTGGAATACCTTACTTTGAAAATTACTGACATATATAAACATATGATGAAGCAGATATGCTTGTATAAGTATTTTCAGTTAGATATGGCAGATTTTTCTATCTTCCTTTACCCTAAAAAAAGAAAAGTTGCACACTTTTATGTTTTTTCTCCTCGTTTTAGGCATTAAATGGTTTTATGTTAAAGTTTGTAAGAGTACCTTACAACCTCATGCAGTGAAAATTTCATGTATAGCCATCTTTTATAATGCTAATTTTCAAATTATCATTAATGCTATTATTTTAGAGACTTTGTTTTAAAATGTTGAATCTGAACCGTGTGTGATGTTAGTCATTGCTAAACCCATTGTTCTTATCAATCTAAACAAATAGACAAGGAATGAGATAATGGATGTAAACAATCTCATTTTACAGTAGGGAACTGTTGTACAAAACAATTGAAGAAACTTGGTCTTGTAAGAGTTACTGCTAGTCAACTCAACCCAGATCCCACTGTCTAATACAGAACCTTAAGCAGAACATGATTCAGGAATTCATACAGACACCAGATTTAACTCCTTACAGATGCTTAACTGCAATGTAAGCAGGTGGTAAATGCCCATACTGAACTGCATCCTCTACAGATATCAGGCTCTCTATTCTTTCTCTAGGACACTTGTTTCGAGATGGCAGTCTGTTTGTGAAAATTTTTTTGGGGTATATTTCTACGTCAAACAATTTAGCAGAAACATTTCCAACATCTTCATAGTTCTTCAGTACTGACAATTAAGAGATTCAGAGTAGATCTTTGCAAAAGTCTGCTCATTACAAATGTATTTAAAAAAAAATAGTGAATGCCTCTTAAACAAGTTTTTTTTGTTAGGTGCCAACAAGAATATCCTCATTTGGAATTAAATGAAGTACTTGTGTGCAAGTACAACAGATAAAATTGCATATGGTTGTATGACAGTTGTATGGTGTTTTTCTGAAACTGTGGGTGCTGCTGGCAGAAAAAAAATCAGTGTTCCTGGTCTTGCCCTTAGGAAAAATGACAAAGTTTTAGGAGAGACTGAGAAACTTTCTAGTGGTTTCTCCTGGATTAGTGTGGTGTCAAAACAGTGTGATTCCCCTCAGCGTCATAAGCTTATTTTAAACCCAGTTCTTGGAATGAAATAGAGGGTATGTTAAACAACAGCTCTACACAGCAAATGTAACATGGGTTATTTTGCAGAGAATTTTTTCTCACACTGTAGGTTTCATTTCTGGGAATGGGGGAAAAAGATGATTAGCTGACATGGTGAGGCTGTGTTTGTTATCCCTTGGTAAGACAAATTAAGTGTGCAACTAAGGGAATTTTCCCCAGCTCCTAGCTCTGCTTCAGCATTAGAACACTATGCTGTATTTGGTTTAATTCATGCAATAACAAATAACAATTTTTTTTATCATGCTTATGCTTCTTGAGACAGAATAAATGGTACAATCCAAGTGATCTGCATTTGACTGTATAAAATTTTGGTGTCTTGTTTTAAGCTAGTTCTGTATGCATGTTTTTAGTAACCAGACAGAAATAAGAAATCAAGACCACCATCATCTTCTGGGGAAAGTAAATTAGTCGACTGACTGTTTGGTTATATTTCTCTATACTATTATTCCCAGTCAAGGGACTCAGCTAATCTAAGACTGGACACCAATATTTAGAGCACAGTGGTAAGGTTAAGGTAATTATAGTCTGAGGGATTAGCAGTCAAATGTTCTAAATTTACTAAGTTTGCACAAATAACAAGGAACAAGTCTGGATCTTCAGTCATTTATTTTAATGTAGACCACTACACAAGCATCACATGTATGTTCAGTTTTCTGTAGAAAATTGATTTATATGGTAGTCTGACACATACAATGGTAATTTCCTGAAAATTCAGAATACTGGCAATGTAGAAAGGCTCCCTCTTGGCAGCTGTGATTATTGAAATCGTATGATAAGCTGAAAGTGTTTATTGGGTTGTTTGTTTTCTTGGTTCAGAGCTTGGAAATGGCTGGTTTTTTCATTAATGTTTTGTTGGTTGATTCTACAATGAGTCTTATCTCAAGGCATTACCATGCACAGGACCATATACATTTGTTCTGATTCCCAGAATATTTATATTCATTGAGGGTTTACTCAACTTCCTTCTTTCAGTACTTGCATGTGTGATTTTTTAATTATTATTACTTTTATTTTATTTCTTTTTATTTGGCTTCCCTGCAAGTTGGGAAGTTTTCCACCAGAGTTGAAGTAAATACCACAGAAGCTGCCTACAAAAGTAGAAGTGCAAATAGTTTCTGAATTTACAAATACTTCTGTAAGTAGTTATTTCAGTCTCACACAGCTTCATCGTGACAAACTGTTTCCTTTTGTTGAATCTCCAGACTATTCTGTGATTTCACTGTGAATGTTATCAGGATATAAAGAAAGTGCAGAAAGGAGAAAACTAAAGTATACACTTAGTAACTTTGAGAATTAACATCCATCAGTGCTTTTTAAAATCCCAAAGTTTATCCATGTAACAAGAAATAGAGCACCTGATCATACTTTACATGTTTCATAAATGTAGTTTACCACATAACACTTTTTCTGTCAATCCTTATAGGCACTGAATTTATGATTTAAGTACACAAAACCTGATCTACCTTTTAATTTGCTCATAGGACTTCTGATGGTTTTATTCATTGAAAAAAACCAAGAATGTTGTACCTCTTCAGTACAACCAATACTTGAATTTAGGGGATTTCACTAGCTTCTAAAGGATCATTTTTCACATGAAAAAATTGGTAATTTTTTTGCATATCTTCTAATTATTTTTCTTTTTTTTTTTTAAAAGGGCTGGATTAACTGTAGAAAGCATCTTCCAGAACTGGCTGGATACTTCTGGAATACCAAAGGTAAATATAAAATACCAGGTCACAGTTCCTTCTGGAGTCTTGATTTTCTCATTACATTATATGTTTTTAAATCACTACCTGAACTTGTAACAGGTATAAATAAACAGTTTTGATGATGACTGCTTTCCGCACCTTTGTATGGCTTTAGCTTTTACCAATTGCAGGTTTTTTCTTCTACAAGTGTCTCAACAAACCTGCAAAATTTATCCTAGAAATTAATATTGTAGTCATATGAAAGTATACTTTACAGTATGATGGAGTCTATTCAGTGTAAGGAGCATTGTTCACAGTTTTTGGAATATGAATTATTTGAAAGCATTACTGACAGCAGTAATTAAATGTTAAATTATTTGTACTTCAATAACTTGTGAATTTTGTGACTTGTTTATTAATCTGCTGCATAGGTAACATCTATTTTTGGTGTTCCAGCATTGAGACTAAGTTTTTTTTTCTGCTTTTAATACTAAAAGGTTTTAGATTGATTTCTAAATTCTGTGAACTGAAAATGCTTTGTTGTGTCTGTGCTATGTGAAGTCTCTGATTATTCATTTTGGACCAAATCTGGGATGAGATAACAAATAATATCTGTACATTGATCTTTGTAAAACACAACTTTATACAAAGTAATTTTTAGCGTATTCTCAGGACTCAGTTTCTAACTGATTTCCCCTAAGCAGGCATCCCCTGTGATTGTGATTGATTGTGATTTACCCTGCCTACTGCTCAAATTTGTTTCCACTTGTATGAGTATTTAAAAAAAAAAAAAAGCAAATAAACCACCAACTTTTAAACGTTAGAATGTTAAGTTCTGGTTTCCATGTGCAGAAGTTCACATGCTTAGGCAGCATGACTCAGTGAGCATATTTGCAGGTAGAATTGACAAAATAACTGGAGAGCTCTGACAGTGGTCAGAGAACCTGATCTGTACCCAGACACTGTGGCTGAGCTCTTCCCTTGACAGCCTGGGAGATGTGTGTGTTCACTGATCCCTGTATGCTGTAGAAGGCTTTTGGGAAAGATCTACCCTGAGATCAAAATGTTTCAAGACTATTTGAATATGTTGTAAAATCAAGGTGGAGTTTGTTTTTTGGTATAAAGCTGTTGAAAATAAAATTAACTAGAAGGGCAGAAAGGAAGCGATAGTGTTATCATGCATCTTGATGCCCAGTCATTTCCTAGAAGAGGACCTTGATCTTAATTCTCAGTTTTGGTTTTTGGTAAAAAATTTGTACACATTGTCAAACAGCTGATTCAAGAATATGGGGGAGATTGATGTTGCATAGCTGTAGCTGTAAGAGGCTGAACTGGCTCCTGACATGTAAAAGCTTTCTCATCTACACATATCTTTTTGAGGATGTGCTTTATTAATGTCTGACAATCAACTTAAAATCACGAATTAGGAAGATAGGAGCAGACTAAAGGACTGGAAATGGTTTTGACTAATGTGCAAACTAAACTCTGTTTTCCTGAGCGCCATAAGTCGCTCAGAATGAATAGTGAGTAATTTCATTATACCCTGCAACTGTCTGTTGCTTATGTAAACAAAACATGTATCAAAAATATTTCCATACCTAACAGGTTTTTAAGTTGTTTGAAATTTTCTTTAATGACTACAGAGATGTCCCTGGTATTTTGACTGTTCTATATAAAAAATGTCAACAGGAATTTTACTAATTTAGTACTCTGCTTCTGAGCATCTGGTGCTCACCTCCTCTCTCTCTTCCTTCACTCAGTTATATTGTTGATCATAAAATCATAAATGGTTTGAGTTGAAAGGGACATTAAAGATCATCCAACCCCCTGCCATGGACAGGGACACCTTCCATTAGAGCAGATTGCTCAGAGCCCCACCCAACATGGCCTTGAACACTTCCAGGGATGGAACATATACAGCTTTTTTGGGAAACATGGTCCAGTGCCTCACCATTCTCACAGTAAAAAACTTCTTCCTCATATCTGACCTAAACCTACTGCTTCAGTTTGAATGCATTCCCCCTTGTCCTGTCACTACATACTCTGTAAAATGTCTCTTTCCATTTTTCATGTAGGCTCCCTTCAGGTACTGGAAGACTGCAATTAGGTTACCCTTTCTCTTTTCCAGGCTGAAAAAACCTAACTCTCCAAGCCTTTCTTCACAGGAGAGGTGCTCCATCCCTCTAATCATCTTGGAGACCCTCCTCTGGACTCACTTCAACAGACTGATGTTGTTCTGGAACCCCAGAGCTGGATGCAGAGTTCCAGGTGAGGGGCAGAATCCCCTCCCTCCCCTGCTGCCCACGCTGCTTTGGATGCAGCCCAGGACACATTTGGCTTTCTGATCTGGGAGTGCCCATCCATATCCAGCCTCTCACCCACCAGCACCTCCAAGACCTTCTCCCAGAGCTGCTTTTGACCTGTTCATCCCCAGCCTGTGCTGGTACCAGGGGTTGCCCAAACCCAAGTCCAGCACCTTGCACTTGTTCTTGTTAAACCTCAGGAAATTCACATGGGCCCAGTTCTTGAGTTTGTCCAGGTGCCGCTGGATGGCATCCTGTTCTTCAGGTGTGTCAACAGTACCACTCAGCTTGGTGGCATCTGCAAATTCTTTGAGGGTGCACTTGATCCCTTTGTCTGTGTCATTAATGAAGGTGCTAAATAACACAGGTCCTAATACAGACCTCCGAGGGATGCACTTGTCACTGATGTCCATTGGGACTCTGAGCCATTGACCACTACCCTCTGGATGCAACTGGCTAATCACTTTCTTATCCATCTAATAATCCACCATCAATTTTCTCCATCTCCAATTTACAGAGAAGGATGCTGTGTCAAAGGCTTCACAGAAGTCCGGATAAATGACATCTGTAGCCCTTCCCTGGTCCACTCATGGAGTCATTCCATCAGAGAAGGCCATGGAGTTGGTCAGGCAGTACTAGCCCTTAGTGAGGTCCTGCTGGGTGTCTTAAATCACTTCCCTGTCCCTCATGATCTTCCCAGGCACAGAGACGATGCTGACAAGTCAGTAGTTCCCAGGGTTCTCTTTTTTGCCCTTTTTAAAGATGATTTATACTTGTCTTCATCACTCGTCAGGATCTTATGGGAACCAACTTCCACTTTATTGAAAGAACTGGAGTTGTCATCCAGTGACTAGGAAACCTTATTTCCTTTGAGCTTTATTAAATCATTAGAGGAGCCTTTATTCCTGCAATTCAGACTGTAGAGGTTGCTTAGCAGCTCTCAATATGTTCATATCTATAGTGTAAGTATGACCATAATTACTGACTACAGAACTGTAAATAGTGTAGGTATACTTGTTTTACAGGACCTGATATTGAAATCTCCTTTTAAAGTATTTAGATTATTTCAGCAAACTAATAGCCTGGCTAATTCAATGAATCTATATGAAGGCATATAAGATCACAACGTACATGCAGATGAACTACGTGCATTATAAACAGCAGTCCAGAAACGGCACAGAATTTAGTCTCTCTCATGTAGTTTACCAGGGCTAGGGTGTGCTGACAGGAAGGTTTCTGTCAGCCCCTTTGGGCACAGTCAGTGTGAGCAGGATGAGGTATAAAGTACCCACTACAACTGCCTACTTTCTTTCAGTACTGGAGCAGTTGGAAAACTGGAGCAACTGGAAAAGCATCTGGTGGATATCTGCTTCAAAGATGTCCCAAATGCATAGTAGCAGCATCCTGCACCCTACACACAAGATCCAACAACTTTCTGCTTATAGCGCTTGTAAAACTGATTCTGGAGTCCTATATGACAGTTAAAGTCACTCTTAATATTGCAGCACCTACTATGAGAAATTGCTTGAGCAAGCATTTAAACATTTTAAATTAGAAATACTAAGATTTCACTGCATTTGCAGAGGAAACCTCCTTACTGGAGAGACTATACTTTGTAATGGAATTGGGTAATGTGTATTGTGCTGTACTTAAATCCCAATGTGATTCCTTTATATCTCTCTCATATAAGAATTTTTGTATTTTACACTTGCTGTGGTGTTTTTGTGTTTTTATTTCCATGTGTTGGTGGATTTTGCACAGGAAATTGATGCCATTTACTGAGTATAAAGAAAAGTCGCCTCAAGTGGTTCATTTACAGCATTAGCTATCGATGTGATTTCATGAATTTTCTTCTGTGTTATATTCAAGTCTATCCCCTGTATGTAACTGGTACTCTTTAATATTCGGTAACCAAATGGTCACTTAAAACCAGAGTTCTCAGCCCACCTCTTAGTTGACTATCTTCACAGCAGTGTCTGTCTAGCTTAAGGACACTGTAAGGGTACAAAAAGGTATGCAAAAGACATATACAGCTAAGTACTTTCTCCTCCTCAGACTGCTAAAGCAATTTTACCATCTTCCTTGCACACAGGAATCTTGTATTCTCTATATTTTGTATTCTTTATGGTCATAAGACATGTCATCTGTCTAACTCAAGATCCTGTACTCCTTTACTTGCACTTTTTTACATTTGCCATTCCAAATTCTCTTTCCAACTCTGTCCAAGGAACTGCAGATATATAGATATAGATGGTACAGATATAAACATATACTCCTTTATAGTTGCAGCTTAAAACTATTGAAACTTTAATATTTGTCAATTTCCATTACTGTTTCACTCTTGGAAAAGTTATCTGTTCTTTTCTAAATACTGGTCTAGTTTCCAGGCTCAGGTATATATGAGCAGTAATCAAGAATAACTTGATGTAAGAGAGTCATACAAATAAATAAAATCAGAACTTGGCTTCCTGACATGAAAAAAAAAAATTCTGCATGCCAACTAACATTTCCAATTTGTTATTTTCTAAAACATGAAAGATTAATGTTATGAAAAAGGAAGTGCGGTTATAACCTGGCCAATTCTTTCTTACACGGAAGAGTGCCACTCCACAATGGTTGGTTTCAGACTTGCTGAGCAGGGTTTTCTCACACACAAAACAATAAGGAATATAAAAGATGAAAAGAAAGTATTTCTCAAATACAAGCTTTCATGAGAGTTTTTTC